TTGCCTTCTTGGGTCTCTAAAGCAATTAGGACTTTCTGACACAATCAAGCCAAAATGCTTAGAGTTTCTGTGCACCACTGCCTGGCCACAATACAGGCTAGACAATGACTCTGTTTGGCTGGATGCAGGAGCCCTAGACTTCAACATTTTAAGAGATTTGGATAATTTCTGCCAGCGCAGTGGCAAAAGGGCTGAGCTCTCCTATGTCCAAGCCTTCTTTGACCTTTGACCTAACCCTCCCTCTGTACTTCTTGTTCCACGCATCAAGTCTTCCTCACAAAAACTATTCCACATGATCTCCACCTGTCTACCCCTACTCCCCAGGAGCCCTCTGATCCCCCTCCACACTCCTCTACCTCAGCCCTTGGTCCCAATATAGCAGATGGGCATCTCCCAAATAGGACTCAATCTCAACCTCCTCCTTCCCTTCAAACCAAGGCACAGCTATCTCCTCCTCCTGCTCAACCTTCACCATATCCCCCTTTGCCTCCACTCCCTGAATCCAACCCAGCTCACCTCCCTTCTCCGTCTCAGACCCCCACCTGCCAGTCTTCCCTTTCTCCTCCACCCCACTGCCCCAAGCCACACACTCCTTCCCTTGCTGGCAGCTCTACCCTACTTGAACACAGTCCAGGCCTCAAACAGCTTCTCAATCTCAAGCAACTTCTCAACAAACAGCCTCTACTCTCCCTCATTTCACCCTCTACTACCAAGAATCCACTGATCTCTCCTATGTCCACTCCTACTGCTACCTCAACCTCAGGGAATGCCTCCTGCCTTCCCATGCTCACTTGCGAACAGGACACCCCTCCTAATTCTCCGACTCCCCAAGCTTCCCTGACCTCCCCTTTCCTTCCCCCTCCATCCCCCATGTCTTGCCATACTTGCTCCTGTGCCCAGGCTCAGCCCTCTGCCTCTCGCACCATCTTCCCCCTTCGGGAGATGGCCAGAGTGGAGGGCATGGTCAAAGTCTACCTGCTCCCAACCCATCTCCTGTGTCAAGTCATACTCGCTCCCACACCCAGTCTCAGCCCCCTACCTATGGTGTCTTTCCCCTCTGGGAGGTGGCAGGTGTGGAAGGAGTGATCAACGTCCATGTCCCTTTCTCCCTTGGACATCTGTCTCATCTCAAGCATGGAATAAGCTCTTTCTCCACTGATCCCACACACTTCATACAGAAATTCAAATATATCACTAGTAGCTACGATCTAATCTGGCATGATCTCTTTGTGATTCTCCAGTCTACCCTCACACCTGATGAGAGACATAGGGTCTGGACAGCATCACAGAAGTATGCTAATGAGCTTGATTCTACTAACCAGACTCACCCTATTGGAGATGAGGCAGTTCCCCTCCAAGACCCTGGGTGGAATTACCAACTCCCACTGGAGGACCAAGCAGGCCCTTCCCCAGGTAGAGCAGCCAGGGACCACATGATCACTTACCTCCTAACAGATCTTCAGAGAGCTTCGCCCCCTAAGATGGTTAACTTTGAAAAGCTTATATTGATTGCCCAGGGTCCTACTGAAACCCCAGCTCAGTTTATGGAGAGACTGACACCCTAGTTCAGTATACCAAGTATGAACCAGAGTCCAGAGAGGGATGGCTTATGCTCAACCACCATTTTATCTTACAATCAGCCCAAGACATTAGAAAGAAACTTAAACACCTAGACAAAGGTCCTGAAACCCCCATGGGAGACATGTTAAACCTGGCATATTCTTCAATAACTGGGAGGAAGAGAAGGCAGACAAACTCACCCTATCCAAACAAAAGTACTAACTGATGGCTGGTGTCTTAAGGGCTCCTCCAAAGAAGACTACAGACACCAGTGGAGCTCAATGGCTACTGCCAGGACCCTGCTTCAAATATGGACTCACCAGACACTGGGCAAGGCAATGCCCAAAACTGCGGCCGCCTCCTGGACCCTGCCCTCAATGCAGGCAACAAGGTAAGTGGAGGGCTGATTGCCCTTCTTTGCAGAGCCAAGGTAGGCTACTCACCTCCCAAACCTGGCCTGCTTTACAGGGTTCAGTAAACAACATCCTGGGCCTGGCAGCTGAAGACAGATGGAGCCCTGGCTCCTCAGCCCCCACCTTCTCAATGACCATCACCATGGAGGACCCTAGGGTAACAGCTATGGTGGCGGGTAAGACTACTAATTTTGGTTTGGACATGATGTGGTCTGTTCTCCCCTCCTACTCCAGTAGAGTTTTCCCCTCATAGATCTCTGTGGTGGGGTTGATGGGAAGCCCCATAACCCCAAAACAACAGGACCCTTGTCCTGCATATTCTGGGAAACTCCCTTATCCCACTCTTTTCTGGTTATGCCTTCATGCCCAGCACCTCTACTTGGCAGAGATCTTATGCAAAAGCTCTCATTGTCTATATCTCTCCCCTTCTCTTGTGTGAAAGTTGCTGTTACCAAAAAGTTTGTTCTAACAAAATGGAGTCAGGTGGTGATAGAAAAAAAGCCTCCATCCACAAAAGCCTCTCACAGAACTTATTCAGAGTCCATACACACAGACTGGAAAAGGAGCTATCTCAACATTTTCCTTAGTACTGCAGTATTCCAAATAAACTGTTCACACAGGATACAGTGCAGGGGCTGTCTCTGTCCATGAGCTCATAGCAAATCCTACAGCAAAACCTTGTAACCTTTGGCTGTCATCATCTTTGATTTTGAAACAATGTCTGTGAACTTCATCTCTAAATGGTTCCCAATCTTACCCCCATGTGCTGTCCCGCATAGCTCACATAACTCCAAATACCATGCTCCTCTATACCCAAATCAATTATTTTTATTTCAGAGAGGTTTTCAACAAGTTTCTTCTTATGTTACCCTATTATCATCCTTGAATCTTCTTTTATTATACCCATCCCATCATTCACATGGTTTAAACTTTTTCTTCTATATATTTGTATGTGTTTGTTTGTGAGCATGTGTGTGGAAGCCACAGGACAACCTCAGGTGTCATCCTTCAGGTATTATAGACCTTTTTGTTAAAACATGGTTTCCCACTGACGTGGAATTCATCAAATAGTCTAGCCTGGCTGGCCAGCCAGCAGGCACTAAGGATCTTCCTGTCTCTGCCTCCTCAGCACTGGGACAAGCCTGACATTTCTTTGTGGGTTCTGAAGACTGAACTCTCCTTGTGCTTGCAAGGCTGCCTCCCCAGTCCTCTTCTATTTTTAAATGTGTCTCTCCGTCTCTGTCTCAGGCATTTAGCTTGGCTTAACTGAATCCAAGAGATAAGGACCCTACAGAATACTCCAGAAAGTCTGTGACACTATAGGGAGGATCCTAGGATAGAAGTCAAGCAACCTGTAGTAGCCAACAGGGAAGAGCCAAGGACTAAGCTCCCCAGCCCATGTCCTTTCTTCCCTCCCTTTGATCTCTTGTTAGTGGAGGGGTTTTTGTGTCAAAAAATGAGAGAGCCCTGTGATGTAGCCTATAATGGCTAACCTCCTAGGGCTCAGGTCAGGATGAGAAAGTGACCACATAAAAATAGAAAGGCAAGCGGAAAATTTTGAACACAGTTCCAGCTGTTGCCCGGGCGCAGAATAATGCTTCTAGCTAACCTCTGCCTGCCATGAAAGAAAAACCCATGGCTCTTTGCTTTGATGCTGGAGCCTTAAGTATTTTCTACATTTATACCAGCAAAGATTTATTTGTGTGTGTGTGTGTGTGTGTGTGTGTGTGTGTGTGTGTGTGTGTGTGTACAGGAGGACACACATAAGCATGCACATGTGTATGTAGGTCAGAGGATAACTTGGGGAAGTCAGTATTACTTTTCCATCACATGGGTCCCAGGCTATTCCTCAAGCCAACAGGCTTGTTTGCAAGCACCTTTAGCCATTGAGCAGTCACACTGGCCCAAATTGTTTGTTGACCACAGAAGAAAAGGGTTTCTTCACCCCATCTTTAATTGTCCCTTTTGTTGCTATTATGAAAAGAAGGGAAAAAATGAAGCCACTGAAAGGCTGCTTTACTCAAGCCTTTAGAGGAAAATCATTTGTGATTTATTGGGGTTCCGTATACTGAGGGATTTCTTTAAATTAGATCTGACCCTTTCTGGGTTCTGGATTGACCATGTGCTCAGACTACATTGCTCTATGATAGGCATTTTTCAATCCTAGAAGCTCAAAGTCACTGATCTGGGTCTTTTGTCCTATTGTCAAAGGATCTTTCAGGAACTCCACCTTTGCCATCTCTCCTGGTGTCATTGGAACTTCAAGATTAGCAAGGAACAACCTTGCTTCCTTGAACAGTGAAGAAAGGAGCTGGGGACTGAAGGCCTTCCTTCAAGGCCTGAAACAGTACATGATGAAAACATGGCATGTTGAAATCTCTGATGCATAAACAACTCAAAAGAATTATTGATCCTTGGCATTTTTGATGCATAATAGGCCCCTTCTTCTTTCAGCCCGAGGTGGCTGAGAATGAAGATGAGGCCTGAGCTGATGGAATGGCTGGGGCATTTGCCACAGGGCTCTGCAAGCTCCCTTTAATTTTGTTGTTCTTAACAAATCAGGCTCTTTTTCTTTTGTAGTGATGCTTAATTTAATCAAAGATTCTAATGCTAAGGCCTCTGGGAACCAGAGAGTTCTCCACCATGACATTCCAGCTAAAGAGATCAAAGTAGAGGGAATACATTTCCTCCCAATCTCCCAAGGCTGGGAAGATTCAATAGAATTCTCTCCTTTGACATCTAAAAACAGTTTTCCAGAAGCTTCACAGCACTTGGTCCAAAAGTCAAATCAAAAGTTCACATAAGCAAAGTAACAAGGCTGCTTTCCCTCCCATGCCAGGCTCGGAGTGTTTGGGATACACCAGGCACCCTGTGTGGTTTCTCTGAACTAAGGGCTTAGTTTAGCTCACACTTGCTCTTGCACTCATTATTACCCCACTACCACCACCAGGAAGTACCCCACCACCAGGAAGTATTCCATTCTAGCTTCTACAATAGCCTGCTTGTTTGATAGGGAGAAACACTTACCATGTGTTCCATCCACAAAACAGCTCTTGCCAGTTTAGAAATCCATGACTCCTTTATGGTCTTGAAAAACTCCCAGGTCCTGTAGTTCAACTAAGGCTGATTCATTCCCACAGATAGCAATCAAACACCATCCACGTCAAAACACTGCACTTGGCATTTAGGAAAAGAGAAGGAAAGTGAGGTATAATCCTTTAATTTAGGAAACCGATACATGGCTAGGGTAAAGCTACAAAGGCACAAATACAGGACAATGTAGGCCAAGGATGTTTCTGAATTAGTGAGCATCACATAGACTTTGCAGGGCCAGATCCTGTTGGGGCCTCATGCTGGGTACATTTTGCCTTCGAAATGTGACAATTGCTATTTTCACTGTGCCAAAACTGTAAATGTCCCCACATCCTCATGTCATACTGGAGGGTTTCTGTGGATTTCTAGACTAGGAGTGGAGTTACTGCTCATCCTTTAGCAGATGCTGCCCTACTTTCTAGAGGACTCAACCTACCCCTCTCACACATGGCACTATGAGGCCTTTTCTGGTTTGTTCCTCTGCTTTGTGCCCCAGAGTAGCTATGAGTCATCTCCTTGGTGACTGACAGATTGGATATCCTCACACATTAACTGAGCATTACGAACCTATGTCTTTTTTTTCCTCTTTATATATTTTCCTCATTTATTTGAATTTATTCTTCTATCCTCCTGACAATAAAGTACCTTAAACATATTTAAAGCATGAATATTCACACTGCAGATGTACAATAGTAGACAGTTCCAGTGTTACCTATTTTTCAGGACCAGAAGTTTGAATATAGGACAATCTTAATTGGACTATGTACAGTAAATAACTAAAGTCCAGTACAATGTATTCCCATTACTAACAACTTTCACCTCCTTTTCATTTTGAAATTCCCTTTTTTAGCTTAGATCTTTCTTCCACCTAGCCTCTTACCACCCACTCTGCCAATTTTGATACTAGCCCTTTCTTGCTCTTACCAGAAAATTTCCAGACAACAGTCAGGTTTCAAAGTCTTCTTCAAACTGTCTTTAAGGAATCATGTTTACTTCAGATATCTTTCAGCCACTACTTAGTCAATTCAGTCATCACCATCAATCATTTGTTCATCTTTGAGGAACATCTCATTCTTGTAATCTTTCTATGGACTAAATTAGAGATCCTGATAACTTTTGGCCAGTACAGTCATGTACATAATGAGTTGATATAATGTTTACCCATTCCATGATCAACTTAACTCTATGTCATTTCTATAAACTTCTAAGCATGCCAGAAACTACTGAAGTTTGCCAACATTTCCCACTTGATTTAATTCATATGTTTTCTATTAATCAAATTACATATTGCTCAAAATTATTAAAAATTTCCCCAAAGTTAGCAAGAAATTGTCTTACCTTGTCACTCTGGATCCTGGATCATGCCTAAGAGAGAGTTCAGGGTAGCCACCTTCCTCACACACCTTCTCCTCTTACCTTCCATTGGTTAAAACAGTCATGAAAGTACAGGCACTCTGAAGAATGCTGAGATGTTAGTCTCTCTCTAGCTAGGCAACTGGATTTCACAGAGGAGGAACATATTTTGGAAGTTAACAGATACTCAGAAAGGATAAGTGACTTTCCTTAGCTAATGAGTCAGAACTCACGTCTTCCAACTCCAGTCCAAGGGTTTAATTTTCTACAGCAGAGTATCTCCATAATGAAGATATCAGAGAACTCTTTAATAGCACTTCTGCAAAACAACTGTGCTGGTTAGTTTTTATTGCAACTTGATACAACCTAGAGTCACTGGGAAGAGGGAACCTCAGCTGAAGAATTTCCTTGATCAGATGGGCCTGTAGCTATGTCTGTGAGAGATTGTCTCAACTGATGATTGATGTGGGAGGGTCCTGCCCACTGTGGGCAGCACTGTCCCTAGGTAGGGGGATCTGGGATGTATAAGAGAGGTATCTGAGAATAAGACAGAGAGCAAGCCAGTAAGCAGTGTTCCTCCATGCTTTCTGCTTCAGTTCCTGCCCTGATTTCACTCTGTGATGGACTATGATCTGGAGTATAAACCAAATAAGCTCATTCCTCCCTGCTTTGGGTCATGGTGTCAATCTCAGTAACAAAAAGCAAGCCTATTAGAATAGCCATTCAACCACTGAGTCTAAAAAGACTAAAGTCCATTCTTCCTAGATTGATGAAAGAAGGAGCAGCATGGGAAATGTCATTCTAAAGGGGCAAGAACCCTGTGAACTCATTTCCTTCAAATGTCTCAACAGAGGTGACAGCGACATAAACTCCTCTGAATTATGCAAGAGTTCATTACACTGTTATTGACTTACCCCAATCCATTCTTTTTTGTACCACTTGGAGTGCTAGCTTTTGGGTTCTCTGCACGTCTGTAGTGCTTGTTTAAAAAAAAAAAAAAAAAAAAAACTAGCAGGACATGATACTGAAAAGGAACAGCTTCATGGAACAGCTGTTAGCTCCAAGCAGCACCTGTGATTTGTGCTCTGGCATTTTTGAAGAAGTAGCTAAGGAGAGAGAAGTCCGGTAGATAAAACTCTGGAGGCCACAGGCTAGCAATCAATGAGAAAAGGTTCTTTTGAGGCATACCAAGATTGAGAAAACATTTGAGGAGAGTTAATGAGTAGAGACCATGGCAGACTAAGTATAAGTAACTGAACTGACTCCAACAAGGACTCCGAGGAGGAAAAGGCAAGATGATGCTCCATCACTAATATGGTCCAAAAAGGGGGCAAAAATATGACTCCTTTCTATCCCACACCAGTTCCACATGGAGCAGAGGCAAATGACTTAATGTAGCTCTCATGGTTTTTTTCCAACTCATGATTAAAGCGATCAACATCCTTCTCCAGCTCTTATGGAAAACCCTGCATTGAAGTTTGTCTTCAACTCATGTTTAAATCTCCTTTGAATCACATCAAGTGCACTAGCTCCCTTGTGGAGTTTTATGCCACACCTCCCAGCTGCCAAGTAATTCTTCCTTCTATTAAATCACTGCTTAGCTGAACCCCAGGGCTCTGATTTCTCCAACTTTGCCTCTACTGGGTTCACCCCTCCCAGATCACTACAGCTACTCTGCTGAGATCACATGCTTTTCATCTCTTTCTATTGATGTCAGCTCCCTGGTGTCCAGAACTGATGGCAAATGATCCACCCAATTATCACAGCATGGCTCTTCACAGGAGAAATGTCACCTTTCAAGACATAGTATTCCATCACAGAACAGAGGCACTTTGCATGTATATTGAGTTTTCTGTGATACAGATTTGGTGGCATTTATTACAGCACAGACAGCCTTCTCCTTCCAGGGTGTTCCCAAGGTCAGGAGTAAGAGATTGATGACTGGAACTACTCTGTATAATCTACAGGTGGGGAAACTGAGGTGCAGAGTGGCAGAATGTCTAAGCTAAACTCTTGCAGTGAGTAGCCTGGAATGGCACTTCTCAAACTCTCCTGTGTATGTAAACTATCTGGGATTTCAAGTCTGTGTTTCTAACAAGCTCATAAGGGATGCTACCTCAGTCCTTACAACTCAACAAGCCCATTTTCACCCATATTTATACCTGCTTCTTAGTCTGTTGAATGGTTTCATGAAACTGTGTATTTCAATTCTATAATAAAATGTGCTTTATGTTGGGATCCACATATGAGGGAGAACATATGCCATTTGTTTTTCTGAGTCTGTGTTACTTCACTTAGTACAACAGTTTCTAGTTCCATCCAGTTACCTGAAAATTTCATGATTTAATCTTTATTTACCACTGAGTAGAACTCCATTGTATAAATGTACCACATTTTCATTATCCACTCTTCAATTGAGGAACACTTAGGTTGCTTTGTTCTCTTAGCTATTGTGAGAACAGCCACAACAAACATGGATGTACAAGTGTCTCTGCAATAGGATGAGTCCTTTTGGTTTATGCCAAGGAGTGGTATAACTGGGTCAAATGGTAGGTTCATTTTTAGTCTTGTAAGTGTTCTCCACACTGATTTCCACAGGGGTTGCATAAGTTTGCAATCCCACCAGCGGTGGATGAGCGTTCCCCTTTCCCCACATCCTCTCCAACATTTGGTATCATCTGTTCTCTTGATCTTAGCCCGTCGGACTGTGGTAAGATGAAATCTTAAAGTGGTTTTAATTTGCATTTCCCTAATTACTAATGAACACCTTTTAAGATGCTTCTTAGCCATCTTTATTTCTTCTTTGGAAAACTCGCTGTTCAGATCCTTAGCCCATCTTTTAATTGGGTTACTTCCTTTCTTGATTCTTGGTGTTTTGAGTTCTTCATATATTCTGGATGTTAAACCTCTGTCAGATGTATCACTGGTGAAGATTTTTTCCCACGCTGTGGGTTTTCTCTTTACTTCTGTTGCTTCTTTTGATGGACAGAATCGTTTTAGTTTAATGAGGTCCCATTTGTTGATTCTTGACCTTATTTCCTGAGCAATTGTTGTGCGGTTTAGAAAGTCCTTTCCTATACCTATATCTTGTAGACTATTGCCAATGTTTTCTAAGAGTTTCAGAGTTTCAGGCTTCATATAGAGGTCTTTGATCCATTTGGAGTTGACTTTTGTACAAGGTGAAAGGTAGGGGTCTAGTTTCATTCTTCTACAGGTGGAGATCCAGTTTTGCCAGCACCATTTGCTGAAGATGCTGTCTTTCCTCTTAGCACCAAATCCTTATATGTGAATATGTATTCAGACATAACTATAGGAACCAGGATAATGAAAAGGAACCAGGGAGGTAAAGGAAAAGACAGAACCTGAGAGAGAAGAACAGTATGAAACAGGTGTTATTAAGGGAGAAATGGATAAAAATGGGGTTATTTAAATGGGAGGGGGAGGGAGGATTATACAAGGAAACTTGTGGATAAAGGGAAAGAAAGAGCTCAAGAGAGGAGGGACCATAGGTGATGGGTACTATCAAGGGAGAAATAGGGGAAATGGGGGCCTTTAAATGGGGAAAACATGGCAGGTTAGACAGTGAGAGTGAGAGAGAGGAGAGATAAATAACTCCTAGCTAGTTTAGAAAAACCTGAGGGAACCATATTAGCCCAACAACCTACTGACAAATTATACAAACATCTCTACATGAGTCCATGTGTATACATATATATATATAAACAGTGCCAGATAGGCGATACCTTCCTTTGAGTTGTTGGCCAGGGTGGTCCAAGAGAATCCCAAAATTACTCAAGCTATTGCCACGACCTTTGATGGCCTCCCAGAACTTGAAGGTAAGACCCTATTGCCAAAGGCAGAACATACTTTGGACACAGGATTTGGAGCAATAGAATTTCAACTGACCTGCAACCACTTCCCCTGAAGGTAAGCTTTCATAGCTTTGGAGGGTGCTATGAAGGAGCCAAGGGAAAACATCAATGGATGATCCAACACCAGCTTCAAGACCAAATAACCACATCAATGGCCAGCACAGCATGTCATTGGTACAGTGGTAGCACTTTTATCTTGGGGGCAATCAACAGCTACCTAATTTGACTAAAAGCCCACTCAAAGGGAGGAAACTCAAGTGTGGTACTGTAAACACAACTAAATACACATAGCTGGAGTGGCCATAGATCTTAGGGAAAACCCCAAGACTGTCACATCACTAGACTGTGATTTCTTACTGTGTGCAAAATATGTATCCTTATATTTAAAGACAAATATCCCAGTCACAACTCATCAACAAAGCTGATTTTGCACCAGTCAGAGACTATTACCAAGTACCACAACTGGTCACACAGGGACATTGTCTATGAATTTCCCAGGCCTAAGTGATACATCTACAATGTAACCTCTATACCTAAGGCTCATGGAACATAGAACAGGGATAATGAAGAGGACACTAATGAATCTCCCAGTTCTTAGTAATGAAGCTCCCTCATGCAGCGGAGGGCCAGGAACACAAAAGGTCACAAATATCCAAAGTGTAGTGATCAAAGGTCTGCTGAATGATGGTCCTTGTACAGGATCCCTATATTAAAATTCACCCAACCAAGGCTCAGGGACTATTGGGAAGAGGGAGCAGAAAAATTGTAAGAGCCAGGGAGGTGCATGACTATACGGAAACAGAGTTCTACAAGCTCCTGGTAACCTGCTCATATGATTCTATGGCAATGTGTCAGTATATGCAAGTCCCATGCAAACTCAGGCAGACAATAACCCAGCATAGACAGCAGACCTCAATCTTATCTGAAGGAATGTTGGCAACTGATTGCTGCTAGATGAAGAAGAGCTGATCTTCCTAAAATAAGGAACTCTAGATAGGCTGTCTATCAGTGGTCAGACTTGCACTGGGGAACAGGTGGAAACACTGACAACCCAGTGGGCCTTAACAGGGATGACAGAGTACACGGGCTCCAGTGGGGGGGGGGCAGGGCTATGGGAGGGTGCTAGTGGGGATGGTGATATAAAGATGATTAAGATTGTTTGAGCTGTTCTATATGAAATACA